TATTCTGTTCATGCTGCAATCGTATTTTAAACAACTACGAGAAAAACTGGGTAAAGAAGCAAGGTTTAGCTGGAGAAGGATAGCCCTTTCCGTAGACTGTAAGCTTGTTTGATCAGGTCCCTCGTCAATTCTTGTTCGTGTTTGTCAAACATATATCTTGCTGGAGTTATTTGTATGCTTCTTTTCTGTATTTGACAGCACTGCGGGATATGTTGACACCTGATAAATTACAGTAAAATCTCTACACCTTTTTTTCCCCCTAGACTCTCTTTATGAGACAGGTACAGTTAATATAATGTGTACATGTAAAGACAGTGGGTATCTGCTTGCATGAAGTGTTACGTTTTTGTGTGGCCTACAGCAGTGTTGGATATGATAGTGGCACAGGATTTTATTAATGTTTCTGGAAATACTGAAAAGTTAACAGACTCTCGCATTGTATGTCAAAATAGATGAGCTGGGAAGATATATGATTTTATAGTTTAATGGCCAATAATCTGAAATTCCTTACTCGTCTCTTCCTCAGACTGGATCCTTGGCTACTAGTCAAGTTTTGATACGTTTATTTTGAACTAGATTAAAACAAAGTAGGGATCGACCAATATCATTTTTCCAGAGCCGATGCCAATAGAGATTATTGGTTATCTTTCAGACTGATTGCCAATTACCGTTGCTGATATTCTGTACATTTAAAAATTTGAAAAAGCAACACAATTTCTACAATAAATTTCCATTAACGGAACATGTTGACTGCAATCACAGTCCAATCACTCTCAGGTAGCCAGTGCATGCGTGGATCACGGATACCCCAGCATGTTTAGTGCTGTTACTACTAATAATAATAACAACAAACTATTTATCCAGGAAAGGCACATTCAGATTACTCTGGTTTTCAAGTACGTCCTGGGGATGTTACCTTAGCCCAAATGTGGACATCAATTACACTCCTTTTACGTTGTCAGCCAGCGCAGTACGTTACAGTAGATTATTCACTGTCTTACCTCCTTGCCTTTAGTTGAGCTCTGCATGCGGAAACTCAAAGGAAAGGGTGACATGAGGTTGCAACGTGACGTCTCATTGGCTGCTTGCTTGAGATTTCAGGTGCGGAAGACCGCGTGCAGTGATTGGGAGAGGTGAGTAAATTATTGGTTATGTCTGTACGACAGAGGTACCTGTACCCTGGGTTGGTACCTCCACCAAGCTCGCTCCCTAGATGGAACAGGGAAACCTGGAGCGCTTCTGCCCCAGTCGCCGCAACTTGACTGGGAGTCCTTCTGGAGCTTTTCCACCGACCAGGCTAGAGCTCTGCTTCCAGGCAGATATCGTCCTCTCTGCCTATTCCCTTACGGCCCTGCTGTCAGGCAGGTATTTTCTCCTCTGCCTATTCCACTGCCGCCTTTCTTCCAGGCAGGTATTGTGGTCCCCTGAGTGTGAGCAGGCATTCCAGCCCCTCAAAACCGCCTTGATTCATGCCCCCGTCCAGGCCGCCCCAGATCCTAACAAATGTTTCATTTTCCACACAGATGCCTCGATGTTTGGACTGGAGGCTGTTCTAAGCCAGGTCGGGGAAGACAGGGGAAACAGTTGAAAGCTGCTACCCCTTGAAGTCAGCTATGCTGCGGTAGAGGAGTCTAGGCACTCAAGAAACTCACCCCCTATCTCTATGGACGCTCTTTTACAATTACTATAGACCACAATCCGTTGGTATGGATGAACAGGGTCGCCTGGGACAATGCGCGGTTGCTAAGGTGGAGCAACCATATGATTTTACTATTCACTACTTGCCCGGTAAGCAAAAGGGAATGCCAACGGATTGTCCCGGCAGACTGAACTTGTAACCCAGGACTACGAACACCCGGACATCTCCAAGTTGATCCGAAAAGGGTCAAGCCGTATCTGCCAGAATGAAGTCAAGGGGGGAGCAGTGTGTCTCCCTGCCCTCCACCTTTTAAAAAAATATGGTCACTATGGACTAGCCCTCCAACCCATGTCTCCCTGCCCAGCACCCCTTCCTGGGCTTTTCCTATGTTTAAGTCACCATGTGTCCATTGTGGGTGCAGGGTGTGTGTGTAATGTGGTTGTTTGGGGTTAAATGTTAGTGTGCTCTACTGTCTTGCTAATGTTTGCAATCAACTAGGTGGATTTGGTTGTGGCGCCTGTACAGCGCCACCTGTTGGTTGCAAGGCTCTAGCAATGGCTAGGATTGCTAATTTAGATATTGAGGTTGATTTGTATATTGCTAATTCTGCAGGCAAGAGCGATATTTTGTTAAATATAGTCTATCCACCCCTTTATAAAGAAGTTATGTGATTATAATTCCCTGTATTATTTTATGACCTGTTTTGGTTATTTGCATTTCATCCGTTTGGAACTGGGTGTTCTGTGTGGATTTTTAGGGATCGCAGTAATAAAGTCTTCGGATCTGTTGGCTGGTTGCACGATCCCTCTAGCCCTGGGATAAATCAAGAGGCCTAGGCCTGAGAGCCGCAAGTGCCTTTGTAAAGACAATGGCATTCACTGTAAGCAGAGCTGGAGAGGAATAGGCAGAGGGGAAGATACCTGCCTTGAAGGAAAGATGCAGCGGAAAAGGCAGAGGGCGGGGATACCCTCCTTGAAGGAAAACTGTAGCGGGATAGGCAGAGGGGGGAGGGGATACCTGCCTGGAAGGAGAGAGCTGCATAGGCAGAGGGGGTGATACCTGCCTGGAAGGAGAGAGCTGCAGTTGGATCAGTTGTAAGAGCTCTGGAAGAGACCCCCAGTCAAGCTTCAACTGGGGCTGAGGCGTCCCAGGATCCCTGCAAGCAGTTAGGAAGCGGACTGGGCAGAGGTACTTGGTCGGAGTACAGTAGCTCCGTCACAATCCGTAAATTACACAACCTATACCGATTACTGGAAAATGCAGGATATCGGCTCTAATAATTGGTGGCACCGATAATCGGTCTAAGCCTAAAACAAGGATGCCATGACTTCTAAAAGACTTACGACTGGCTGTTATTTTGAGACCTTTTTTGCTTTAAAGGGACACTATAGTCACCTGAACAACTACAGCTTAATGTATTTGTTCAGGTGAGATCTATAGCTCCCTGCAGGCAATCTAATGTAAACACTGTATTTTCAGAGAAAATACAATGTTTACATTGATTGATAGGAATACCTCCGGTGGCCGTCACTCAGACGGCCACCAGAGGGACTTCCTATCATGTAGGGCCCTAAAAAGGCCTTGTACACATCAGACGTATTAAGATACGTCTGACGTGTGCAGGAGAGAGAAGGCATTGTGTGTGCGCCTTCTCTCTCCTGCCTGTCAGCAGAGGAGAAGGGACAGGCAAAGTCCGCGAGCTGATCTGTCAGTCAACTCGCGGCCGCACACTCTGCGTGCATGCGCGGTAGTGCGCTTATGAATGCCGCCCTATGAAGTATGTGCACAAGGGAGCAATGACGCTTCCAAATGGAAGTGTCTGATTTCTCCCTGCTCGCGCCCATCTATTTTGTCATTTTGACGAAATAGGGGTGCGCGGCTTCACCAGGCTCCCGACGCTGGAACCAGGTGAGTAAACTACTCTGCCTGGAGAGTCCCTTGAAATAAAAAAAATTATGCATTTGGATTTAAATGTAACCATAAAACAAAAGTCAGACTTGCCCCTGATCTGATTCTGAAGGTCTACGAGCATTTATCATCCCCTAAAATAATATTTGAACACATACTCTATGGTGAATACAGGTAAAAATGACTTTTCTCAATAGATGTGTTTTTTGTTGTTTTTTTTTCCTTTTCTTACACCAGAGATTTCCCAGTTTTGTCAGCACAGAAAGCACAAGATATAGAATTTGGCAATAGTCACATTAATCAACCGTAGTCTGTAATTCAAGAAAGCTGAACCAGGATTTTCATTAAAATAATAAATTAATTGTCAAGGCAGAGTCGGTCTTTGCAGTCGGCATTCCATATCATCTGTTTTCTCTCGAAGTAAAACACATGGGGTCGGTTTGCTAAGACATACAGTGTTTTCAAGATATCTCTCCCCAGGGCACAATAAAGCAGCACAATGCTGCCTTGGATGTAATGCTGGTAGTTTGCTCTATTTTCAGCAATAAAAAGAGGGGCGGGGGGGAGCATGGGGAAGTGTATGTAATTATATGTTTGACTTCTACCAAAGGGCAAAGTAGGGTACCGCCTGATCACATTTATCAAGGAATACACAGTTTTAAAGAGACTCTGCCACTTCCAGATAGTTCCTCCTTTCGTAATCACAGTAAATGCTATAAAATTCTCATACAGGGGTGAGTTGTGCATTGGACAAAGGAATAAAACTTACCTCCACAGGACTTGTGTTCAGGACATCTTCACACCATGATGCTCCATATGTGCTGGCTATCCACTTAGAAATTGCTGTATTAGCATGTGTGTGCTCAGGCCCTTATTTCATATTAACTCACCTGCGCACATAGAACTATGGTGGTTATATTTATTTACATTGTGTGCTGTTGCTTTGTCAGTACCGCTTGGCAAGCATGGTTACCTTTTCAGATTGCAATTTAACATTTCTTTGTGATTTAACGGTTATGATGTGAATGAACCAGTGCCTATCCCTGGAAGGTATTGCTAGACTTTTACCTGCATGCACCTAAAATAGGCAAGACATTTCCTTCATTCCAAATGTTTTAAATGGATATTCAAGGCAATCTAAGTTGACAAACCATTCGCTAATGGTTTGACTTCTTACCTCTTGTCTATCCTGCCCCTGTCTCTGCCTTTTCTATTCTAGAATTGAGAACCAGAAGCTTCTGCTTGGAGATTGCGTTATATCTTATGAGCTTAACCCGGCCATGCAGATCCAACTCATTTATTAAGTATCAGGATACCCTCTCGGCAAATCGGCTAAGCTCCGTACCTCCGGACATAGCTCAGGCAAAGAGCTGGCTGCAGGCTGTGGCACTTGGCAAACTCCACGTTAGAAGTCAAACTGTTAGCAAATGGTTTGACTACTTACACTGTGGTGTGAGAGGGCTCTCCTGGCACCATAACCACTACATTGTAATGTAGTGGTTATGGTGCTTGGGGTGTTCACTTAATTAGTTGTTAAAAATGAAGACCCCCCCCCCCATAAATTATCCTACCATATGCATATTTTCTAAAAGAAACTGCTCTTTGTAGTGTTAGTTACTTATTTTTATAATCTAATAAACTTGTGTGTATACTAAAATAGCCGAAGTTTTCGTTTAGAAGACATAGTTTAAAATTATGTTCTGAACTCATGAGACATTTGACTTACTACAACACGTTGGTTATTATTCCAGAACTGTGTGGCTTTTGGGTTTCCAGGCAACAGCACAGTTGTAAATAAAATAAATCTTGAGATAAAGAGAATTTGGTATGCTCCAAAATGATTCATTTTACAAATATAGAGTGAAATAGCAAATTCTCCACTTGGTTTCTTAAATTACCACTCTAACATATTCACAAGTGGTCGTGGTTCAAGACTTTTTTGGGGGGGTCTCCCTCTAGCGCAAGAGTGTTTAAAACCCAGATCCCCAGGTGGGGATCTACTATTTGCCCATCCTTACAAGACTGTATGTGTGATCAGTGTTTGTGCATTTGAATGCAAGCATGTTTTTGTATAGTGTGTGCATGTAGGGGTTTATTTGTATACACCATCTGGGAGTTCCATATTATGTGGAGATATGCCTGATACATTTCTTCACCTGTAAGTGAGACCAATATATATATATATTTGGTTCTTTTATTTTGCATATATTCCACGGAGGATCTCTCATTCACCATACTACTACCCCTGGCAGGGTGAGAAGCCTGATTTCATGTTTGTTTGTGAGTGCACTTATTTGCATCAAAATATCACTCACTTATTTATACTGTATTACTCTGTCAGTTTTCTAATCTTTTATACAGATTTCATTTATGATTCACAACCTATATTTCAGGTTATTTGTATATTTTCTATATTACCACGTATTGGGAGGTGTTTCCACTTTGTCTTTTTAACTATATGTGTTTTAGGTGTTAGTGAAGTACACCTGGGACTTCTCCCTAATATATGGTTTTTATTTCCACTTCATGTTGCCATTGGAATGCCGTGGTGTACTTGTGTGTAGTGATTTTAGGTTCTGTGAGATCACGTCATGTCGGTTGGCTATCTTTGTTGATCATCTGGAGGTATGTTTTCAGAACATGTTTTCACTTAATCAAAGGTAACATCTGTAAAAGTAAATGGAGTTTTGCAATATATCCAGCTGCATTTTTAATGTAACTTTTGCTCTACTTTAAAAGGGATTAACATTTAGAAACAGCCTATTTATAGGACTATCACCCCATAAACAAATACAATATTTTTAATTCTGTGCATTGCAGGTGCCAAATGTTTCCCAATTCACAGCTGTGGCTTTATTGTTTGATGGAAAATATGTTAACGATGGCCCAGAATATAAAATTACAGAGTTTATTACATTTTTGTAATTTCATTAAAGCAAGAATTAATTTTGGAATTTTCTCTTTCAGTAATACTTTTTTTTTTTTTTTTTTCTGGGCAATTGTAATTTTACTATGAACCGATCTCTAACCCCATGTTTTAAAGTAGCACTGTGTTTAATAATCCCTGTGGGAAAAAAGAAAATCGAAATCCCCTTACACAGTTTGCCCTAAAATAAGCACATGTTAAATTAAAAAGCAGTGAATTTCTATTAAGTGCATTTTTTGTACCCTTCATAACCCGTGACCTTAATCCATTTACTCCTTCATCACATAATACAGAATGCAAGGCAGTGGCATTGTAATATTAGAAGAGAGGATACATTGTTATAAAGCATGAATTTTAGAAAAATAATCATATTAAAGGCAGTGTTTTCTCTGCCTATATTTTACATTACGTGAATTTTCTAAATGAAACTCTGGCCGCGATTTGTGTGCACCTGGGTGTGCATTGCCGTTTGTGGTTGCAATCCTTAACTGAGGCCCTCTCCCTTTAGTGATATGTAAGCAGAGGAGCCAGGGACAGAAAATCATACGGTCTGTCTCCTTCAGGCCTTCTTCTAGCATATCACGAACAGGGGAGGGGCTGCAATAAAAGTACAATGTAGGCACGGTTACTGCTTCATTGAAGTGGTTGTAGTGTTTGAAGACCCCTGGCGCCATACTTCCATTCAGTGTTAAACTTAACTGATTGCTTGATAGGAGTTCCCGTTTGTGGGAAATGAGAAAGCCTCACATTGAGCAGCAATAGACTACTGTTTGAGACTGAGAGCGAGCGTGTTGACCGTGTTTATCATATCATACCTCCAGTACGGGCCAAGCGGTGGGTGTATTTAGTATATGTGCCTCCAGTTTTAAAACAAATGCAATTCGTCTGAATTTAGGGTGATCGGGTCTTCCAAATTCTGTAACTCTAATCGCCATGTGAACACACCCTGAAACAACTAAAATCGATGATGGACTAACCATTTTGATTGATTTATGATCGGGAGTTAGGCTGTAATAAGTAGTGTCAGTAATTCCCTGGCATACCCCTCCACTGTAAGCAGTCAAACGGTTTGCTAATAGTTTGATTTCTTACCTGGGTACAACCAGGTGCTGCTCCCTGCCTCTTCCCTTCTTGTTCTGTTGTTAGGAGTTTTACTTGGCTCTCCTGCATTAAGCCTTGCACCAATAGAGAGAGGCCGTGATCAGCACCCGACAGACCCCAGATAAGAGGCAAAACCATTGTAAACCGTCCAGGGCACTCCTGGCACCATAACCACTACAGCACACTATAGTGGTTCTTGTAGTGACCCTTTAATGGCAGCAATTGCAAAGAGCAGCTGCTGCCCAGGAGTGTAAAAACAAAAGCCTAGCATATGTATGTATACACATACAAATAATACTTTTATTTTTGGCTAACATTTGCAGCTCTTCTCATTAAGAAAACATTTCCAACATCTTAATATACCCATGTGACAGGAGTCTACAGTAATCCTCCATCTGCTTATATAATGTTCAAAGCTACCTTCTGACTTGCCCTTAAATGTATAGTGGCATTGGAAGAAATTGTGCAGCTCAGCATGCCTGTCAGACGGATCCAAAGGACAAAAGAGTTTGCATGAAGCAAGCACTTAGCACTGCATCTGGAGAATGCTGACGGAAACCATTTATCTACCCAGCGGATGATACATGAGCCAAACACCACACTAGATCATCCTGTAGGTTTGATGTGCAAGAACATTTTATAGATAGATGCGCAAACGTGAGGCTCAGGAATGAGCTCTGTCTGAAAGAGTCCATTTTTATCTCAACAATATATATTTTTCACTGTAGTTTTAAGATATTCTAGTGTTGGATGGTCTCCCATCCATTCATTCTTTATATTTGCTACATCGTTGAAAAGTATACTTATATTAATTATTTTCAGTATCATATTCTACCAGCAAATTTTTATTTTTTTTCTTCTTCTTCGAGGTGAGGGTAGGATGTATTTCATGTACGAGAAAAGTAGGTTTCTAGACCCTTTATTGTGAGGTTACCCTCTTATTCCAAAATACGATGCAGGTGTATCCACCAGCTATCAGAATCACATTCGTTTCTCATTTAACACAGTAACAGAGACAACAGCAGCATCCAACCAAATTCCAGCAGTCATTCATGTATCCTGTTACAAAAGCAGTTCATCAGATGTTGTTCTGGCAGTGAGTTGGTACTTCTGCTGCGCCTGTCTTGTGATGATGTAGCACCTGCTCGGATTCTGACACTTGTTTGGTAACGCTACCTCTCAGTCACTGGAATTCTGCCAAAGACACAGTATAAGCCATATGCCAAATCATTGTATACTTTCTTGCCACAGTAGATGGCTGTATCTCCCACATGCCATCGCATCCCCCCCCCCCACCTAATTCATAGGTGTACAATTTCCCGGTCACTCAGCATTGCCAGGGAATTACTTCTGTCTGTACTGGGAACGTGGCCTACAGAAATTCTTTTCCTAAGAAACAGTCTGCCAACCCATCAGACTTACCTTTAGTCTTCAATCTGTTTAACATCCTTAAAACTCCTCGTATCAGGTAAGCCTGTAGCCAGTGGCGTACATACGCCAGAGCCGCACGTTCAAGGTGCCATAACAGCATGGGCCACCCGATTGCTATGCATTTCCAGGGGGCCCCGGTCAGCGCTGCGGCGCTTTAACAGCGTGACCGGGCCCCCTGTGATGACATCAGAGCTGAGAGGAAGTGACTGCCCGTCACTCCTCCCAGCTATCAGACAGAGCCGCACTGGAGGAAGGAGAGGGTGTCAGAGTGGGGAATCTGACTCCCACCAGCCTGAGCCACCACTGGACCCCAGGGAAAGTCACCCTCCTGCACCTAGGTAGGAAACAGGAGGGCGACTTAAACATTTTGTTTGTGTGTGTATATGTCTGTGTGTGTCTGTCTTTGTGTGCCTGTGTGTATGTATGTGTCTCTGTGTATATGTGTGTGTCTGTGTGTATGTGTCTGTCGGAGGGGGGGAGCAAGGGGGAGCATGGATCAGTTTCGCAACGGGGCTCCATGAATTGTGTGTACGCCACTGCCTGTAGCCTCCCTGGGTAATTTTCATTCTAAAAGCTGTTTGCCTCTTCTCTAACATAATAAAATGATTAGCAATTCCACAGTCCAATCTACTGCTTTCCAGCACATTCACCTGTTGATCTTGTCCTCTCAGTACTTTACTTCACCACAGACTGTATGCACAATTAAGCAGGGCCTTTAATAACCTCTTTTTTTTTTTTCTTGTTAACTTTTGTAATAGTTTTTGTTTCCTGTTTTATCTTATTAAAATTATAAAGTGCAGCAGAATTTGTTGCTGCTATATAAATGCCAATAATAATTAATGTGGTAACTGATTAGTGTCACCCACCGTCAACTACTAGGCATAAGCGTGCACGAGGTTTATGCCTATTCTACCAAGGCACATCCAAATGCAGGACCTACTTTTTCCTCTTTGGCCGTCTATTTATATTCCTGCCCTTGTGTTCGAACACTATCCGATGAAGATAAAATTGAATAAGTGTCCATTGTTGCTATTAAAGAGAACTATTTGGCATGTTGTGCAGTACAGCTACAGTTTGTTGAAAGAAAAAAATAAATCCTTTTATGCTAGGGCAGGGGTAGGCAACCTTTGGCACTCCAGATGTTGTGGAGCCATAATGCTCTTATACCCATAATGCTGGCAAAGCATCATGGGAGGTGTAGTCCAAAACATCTGCAGTGCCGAAGGTTGCCTATGCCTGTGCTAGGGTAAATTGTGCTAGGGTATTCATTAAAGGTTTGCCTGTGTTTAACCCCTTAAGGACCAAACTTCTGGAATAAAAGGGAATCATGACATGTCACACGTGTCATGTGTCCTTAAGGGGTTAAAGGAACACTATAGGGTTAGCAACACAAACATTCCTGACCCTATAGTATTAAAATAAATTTTAGGCTATTGTCAATTCTAATGATCTCTGCCAAGGAGGCGGGGTGGGTGCTGGGAGGGTGTAGCCAAAGACAGTACCCGCTCTGCAACTTAGGCCCTTGCGGGCCACGTGATCACTCTGAAAGAGTGATCACATGGCCACAATAAACTGACAGGCAGTCTACCTGCATCTGAAAAATAAAAAAACATTGTTAATAAATCAAAATATAATTATATATGTATATACTGATATATGTACATATTAGATCTATATAATATATAGCTATATATCTTGTGTATATATAATGCCATACTAAGTATATTTTTATATTAATATATATTGATATAAAAATACACTTAGAATTAAATTACACACATGTATATAATATATAAAATAACTATATATATATATATTGTGTGTGTATGTGTATATTTGTATATATATATATATCATAAATTGTAAATAAAAAAGGTAAAAATAATAAAAAATATATGTAATTATATTCTAACTGTATTTTTATTTTAATATATATCAAAATATACTTAGAATGAAATTTTATAGATCTATCTGTATACATAAATAAAAATACGAAATAACTATATATCCATATATCCATCCATATACATAATGACATAAATAATTTCATAAATATAAATGTAGACTTCAAGTATATAAATATGTATGTGTATATATATATATATATATTTAAATTCTACGTGCATATTAATGTAATATTTTTACATAAGTCATTTTATTGATTGCAATTTGAGAGACCTTCCTGACAACCCAGGCCAAAAGTCCAGAGAATTTAATTTACTAGCACTGTATTTAACCCTGTAACTTCCCATGACACCCTAAGACTTGTACATGAGGGGGGTACTGTTTTACTCGGGAGACTTCGCTGAACACAAAAATGTACTGTTTCAAAACAGTAAAACATATCACAGCGATGATATTGTCAGTGAAAGGGGATTTTTTTGCATTTTTCACACACAAACGGCACTTTCACTGATGATATCATTTTACTGTTTGGAACACTAATATTTGTGTTTAGGTAAGTCTCCCGAGTATAACAGTACCCCCTATGTACAGGTTTTATAGTGTTTTTGAAAGTTACAGGGTCAAATATAAGGCTTGATTTTGCCAGATTGGTTATGTTGCCTTTGAGAGCGTATGGTAGCCCAGGAGTGAGAATTACCCCCATGATGGCATACCATTTGCAAAAGAAGACAACCCAAGGTTTTGGAAATGGGTATGTTCAGTTTTTTAGTAGCCACTTAGTCACAAACAATGGCCAAAGTTAGCGTTCAGAATTGTTTTTTTTGCATTTTTAACACACAAACAAATATAAATGCTATCTTTGGCCAGTGTTTGTGACTAAGTGGCTACTAAATAAGACTGGACATACCCCATATTGAATACCCTGGGTTGTCTACTTTAAAAAAAAGATGTACATGTGAGCTTTGATTCATAGATTTAAAACAGATAAGTGTTACAATGTCACTAGTGATACATTTTAAAATATATGTTTTGAGACAAAAATGCCCTACTTGTACTTATAACTTGCAAAAAAAAAGCTAAAAACATGCTAACATTGGGTATTTCTAAACTCCGGACAAAATTTAGAAACTATTTAACACTGGTGTTTTTTGGCGGTTGTAAATGCGTAACAGATTTTGGGGGTCAAAGTTAGAAAAAAGTGTGTTTTTTTTTTTTTTTAAAGTCAACATATTTTATAAAAAATTTTTTTATAGTAAATTATATGATGAAAGTAATGGTATCTTTAGAAAGACCATTTAATGGCGAGAAAAACTGTATATAATATGTGTGGGTACAGTAAATGAGTAAGAGGAAAATTATAGCTAAACACAAACACCGCCGAAATGTAAAAAGAGCCCTGGTCCTTAACGGTAAGAAAATGGAAAAACTGCCTGGTCACTAAAGGGTTAAGAGCAAAACAAAAAAGAAGTGTACATACTGATGTCATTTCCTGTGCTTGCAAGATATTGTAGCTGCTCCAATCATCTTGTTTAGGTTTCAGAAGACAGGATGTTTTCTGCCCTATTGTACTGCAACGGAGGTACAAAGGTGGATTTTCGACCTCTCAGTGTCTCAAAGATAATGTAAAATCATACTGATAGTTAGTTTTGGGCATGGACTATGTGTCTGTTGGGGAGGGGGTGACGTGTCAGAGTGTAGAAAGGGGAAATAGGCACTCACTATAGTATTTAACACAATATAAGTAAAGGCTGCAGTAACCAGTCCCAAGCCTTGAGGATAGTTGAAGTATGAAAGGATAGGGGAAACCACGCCCAACAGTATATGTACAAAATAATATTAGACGTACACAGGTCTTAAGGGTTGTATACACAATTGACCTCAAAGATAAAAGGACAAAAAAAAAAATAGTGCAGTACAGTTTGTACAGTGAGTAAGTAGTGGATAATCTTGTGTGGTTTCCACTCACATTTTCTTGAGCTTACTCAGAGCTCTGTTGTATTACGCATGGATGGAACAATCCCCGTCTAAGGATGTGTCGTGGTATGGACGTCACAGGTGCCTCAAATAGAGTGCAGTATACAGGAGATATATATATTTGTGTTCGGGGAAAATAGCCGTATATGGAGTAAGGTTCCAGCATAAGCGTAGGATAGTATAAAGGGAGCAAGTCGGTTGTGGTGTGCCGAGACCGACGATACGGTAGGCCTGTAAAAAAAGAAGGCAAATAGAATAATCAAAGATTTAATACAGTCAACAATATATACAAATTAACCAGACATTTCCTTAAATGCATTACGGTATTTAATTCCTTGAAGGATTTTGAAGGTAGGAATCTAGGACCGAAAGTGGACACCATTTGTTGTGGGTAGGATAGTATGTTATCTCTACTGTTGGTGCGTGTTGACTCGTTTCGGAACGTGGTAGAGCCAATAGGTAATGATATATGTTTACATACGTGGGATCGTTGAAGACAATGATCTGTCTGAGTGGTGGTTATGGTAGTGGATTCTCTGGCCTGAGAAAGGCATAAAAGGCAGTGTGCATGGCTGGTAATGGCCGACTTGGTAGTATAATTGAATGGATGTAGCTCTAATAGGTCCGATAAGGATGGAAAAATTGGATGGTTATTGGTAATCTCTGAGAGGAACGTGGGGGGATGGATTCCTGAAAACCTCTGAGTATATTCTTGTCTGGTATGATAGCATGAAGTTATGGTAGTTTTGGCCATGGGTTATCCTGTGTTGTTGAATGCCTGTAAAATATATAATTAATGGTGTGTGAGATGGTTTTAGTTTAAGGTGGCAAAAAATGAAGCAAAACCTAGGAGAAATGTTATGACACTGGTTGAGCTATGTTGTGTTCCAATGAGATTCTTTAAAGCCAGGTGAATAGCTGTGTTATGCGTTCTACAAGTATGGGATGAAAGTGCTAGGTGGGATAGTGCATGCTATGCTGCATGAGTATGTCTAATCCATGATTTTGTCTCTGGAACAAAAGAGTGGCCGTGACTGTATGGGTGGCTGTAGGAAGCGTATGATGAACATGCCTGGAATATAAATGAGACAATTGTCGGCAGGGATGTATACCCCCGCCTGGTACATGAAAGTAAAATAAATGTGGTAAGTGGCCAACCAAGTGAGTTCCCCAGCAATACCATGATCGTATGGATGATGAGTGGCATTTGTTGATGATATGACATATGCTTAGTTGTCTGAGTAACAACGGATTGATGACCCTGACCATGATTTACCCCATGCCACAGCAGCTGCTTTTAGCGGGGAAAGGATTTCCCATTTTATGCCATGTAAGTGCCAGTTTGTAGGGTAGATGGTAGCCGTTTACTGTGTTGATGATATTGGTCTTACTTAACGAAGCTTCAACCCATGCTTGAGTGATAGCTGTAAAGGTAGATCAATGGTGTGTATAGTAAGGAAACTCCTCGGAGGGTATGAGGGGAGGGAGTGGAGACTTGGGGTAGCAAAGGTGTGTGGTGCCAATAAGTCTATGGTTAGTCTTGTTTAAGGGAAGATTCCCTTGTGACAATACCAATGTGTTTGTGTTTGGTGCCATGCTGTAAATGGTGGAGATTGGAAAACCCAAGTAAAAACCCCTCCTCAAATCTTGGCTATGAGTGTGTTTACAGCCGACGGTTCTGTTGTGCTGACTGTAAGTGAGGGCATGGTATATTCCTTGGTTTATTTATGATACCTGTATGGGAGCCCTTTGAAGCCCCAGAGCTTTAGTAAATCTACTACAAGTCTGGAAGGGTGATGAGTCAGTAGTGTTGAAAATGCATATGTGTGTACAGATGGTGAGTATGTTATTTGTAAGTTGTATTGGGACACATGGTTTGTCATGTGCCCTGAATGATTTGAACATATATGCAACAGTCTATATGCAATGCAACTACTAATACCAATTGTCTCTGGTAGTTCAGAGGTTCTGGTACCTGGAGCCTGAGAGTGCTCGTCCGTTTGTTTGGGAGAAAATCCCTTCTGTATGGGTACCTGCACAAATAAGCATCTCTACATATTCCAAATGCCAACACAACCAAGGGATGGTCAGTTCCCGATTTACCTAGAATCCCTGGGTCTGACCATCATAGATACATCATCATACATATTTATGCCTTGTTTCCCCAATGTGCCGGGATCATATGTGCAGGGTTAACGTCTTGTACCAAGAATTGATTGTACCAGGTAACAGAGTTTCGGTTGGTGCTGGTTGTACAGTAGCGTGAGGCCCAGCCTTGTGAGGGCTGTGACCGACTCGAGATTGCCAGTCTGTCGTAAATTTTTTGGCTTATGAGTTTGAGTGAGGCTAGCATGGCCTGGGTGTCACCTGAGTTGGTGTTGCTGGGCCTTCCCCTGCCTCCGTGTTGTCCGATGTATGGAGGAGTTTGAATAACTCTGCTTTCCTTGCTGTGGCAGGGTAGGGGATTTGTCACCTCCTTAGGTCGGAGCCACATCTCCTCTGCTTGAAGGTGTATCACTTCTAGCTGGGGTGCCAGGAAGAGGTGATTCTTCACCATCTTTTTGAGAAATAAATAACAATAAAGATTGCAATTATTATTTGTACCCAGGGGTCTTGTACTGGCTTGCTAGCTAAGCCGTAAGGCGAAATGATTAGGCTTGGTGTTTTTTGGTGACTGGTGAGGCCCTGCCAAGTGGCTTGAGAGGCTCTATCTATGCTTGGCGCGAGCGGATTTTTTGTGGCCACTGAACGTTGTGGCAGGATGTTGGCCTCTCGGTGACAGTAACCAGAAAGTAGGAAGAGGAGTGACAGGTGAGGCACTCTCTATGATACAATGCGAGGCAGCTAGCTCACAAGTGGCCCCAGGGGAGTATGCCTCCAAGTGTGAGGCGGGGTGTTGGCCTTGCAGGACCACTAACCGAAGCATAATGCAGAGAAAAAAGGGGGTAATACCTATTGGGCCCTAGAACCCAGGGGGTAATACCTATTGAGCCCCTCTCTATGATACAATGCGAGGAGGCTAGCTCACGAGTGGCCCGAGGGGTGTATGCCTCCGAGTGTGAGGCGGGGTGTTGGCCACACGGGACCACTAACCGAAGCGTAAAGCAGAGAAAACAGGGGGTAATACCTATTGGGCCATAGAACTCTAATCACCGGTACATTACTACTATTCCAGGGAAGGTAAGAGATGAAGGTGTATCACTTCTAGCCGGGGTGCTAGGAAGAAGTGATTCTTTACCATCTTTTTGAGAAATACTTAAATAACAATAAAGATTGCAATTATTATTTGTACCCAGGGGTCTTGTACTGGCTTGCTAGCTAAGCCGTAAGGCGAAACGATTAGGCTTGGTGTTTTTTGGTGACTGGTGAGGCCCTGCTAGTTGCCAAGTGGTTTGAGAGGCTCTATCTATGCTTAGCGCAAGGGGATTTTGTGTGGCCAACGAACGTTGTGGCAGGATGTTGGCCTCTCGGTGACAGTAACCAGAAAAATAGGAAGGGGAGTGACAGGTGAGGCACTCTCTATGATACAATGCGAGGCAGCTAGCTCACAAGTGGCCCCAGGGGTGTATGCCTCAGAGTGTGAGGCGGGGTGTTGGCCTTGCAGGACCACTAACCGAAGCATAATACAGAGAAAAAAGGGGGTAATACCTATTGGGCCCTTGAACCCTAATTGCCAGTACACTATTACTATTCCAGGGAAGGTACGAGATGGATAACTACGTGAGCAGGTGTACATACCTGGTAGTATGGTATTGAACCTGACAATCTGTATAGGTTTTTTTAGTAGTAACTGTAACCTGAATGGATAAAATCGTATGGCATAAGGAAATATGGCATAGACCAAGCTTATCTTAAAACATACAGTATATGTGAAAGTAAAGTGCCGTGATATGTAAATATTAAACATCACATTAAGTGCCGTATGTATGTGAACCATATTACCAGTTACGTATATACAGATGCGTGTGCTACTGTGTAATATGTGTATTTATAACAGATGTTGATATACTGCTTGCTATGTGAATTGTTGTATGCCTTATTGAATGGTCAGTGAACATGGTGTTGCAAAATGCAAATGCACTGGAGATCTGCCGAATGTGCCCTATAAGTGGCAGTGTAGTTGATACTGATTGGTATGTGAAATGTTGTTTGTCTGTTGACCTATAGGGGTCAGTGTTTTGGTGTTTGTAAAACCCCATGAAAATTGTCAATGTACTTGACAGACCTGTAGGTGGCAGTTTTGATAGAACCACTGTTAGTCTTGATGTGAAATGTAAATTATTGTGAATTAAACCTGAAGCTGAGCCCGTGTTGGATTTTAATTTATGGTTTATGGTTATGTTTAAAACAATCTTATGTGTAATTTATATTGGCTGGTAATTGTATATGACATGTGAAGACAGTTTTGCTGTTAACCAGTAGGGGTCAGAAATGCTGATTGTATGGTAAAACACCCTTTAACCCCTGAAGGATACATGACATGTGTGACATGTCATGATTCCCTTTTATTCCAGAGTTTGGTCCTTAAGGGGTTAATCCAAATGCAAGGTTAACGTGAGATTTTGAGAGTGACCTGTAGGGGTCAGTGTGATTTATGTGGAACATTGTTCGTCAGCTATGCCCCAGCGTTATCATCATCATCATCATCATTTATATAGCGCCAACAGATTCCTAGTTGTATGACAGGGAAACAAACAGTGCCCGTTTGACAATATACAATAAGTGAGAATAATAACAGTCATTATAACAAACCAAAGTTCTGTTCATGGGTTGTAAACGCACGAAGCGTGTGTGTAGTACAACAGTAAATGCATGAACTAGTACCCGTTTGGTAGAAAATTGCACGAACCATGAGCCTGGTATGTCAGGGAAAAATAACGAAACGAGCAGTGAGATTCGAAATGCACGCACAGAATTGCCTAGTATGTTTAGGCAATTGAATCAGAATGTGTTCCCGTTTGGGAGTATGCTCATTCTCGAAATGAGCCAGTGACAGATATAAACAAGTGAATTTAAACGAATGATATGCATGAACATGCAATGGTTTTAGGACAGATTTAGACAAAATGCAGCCGTAAAGTGAGGACCTGACCCGTGCATGGTGCCGTGGGACTGATGCCTGGCGTAACGGGTAGGTCGACTTACGGTTTGTGAGTCACTTGGACACCATCCACAGCGATAGATTGAAGAAAGAAGGTGGTAGGCTGGAAAAGCCTGTGGCTGGATTCCTGACACAGCTCAGCTTAGAAAACCTCATGGAGTAATCAGGTAAAATGGCGTCTGGATGACCCGGAAGTGGAAATCATTCTGATGCTGACCTCAAGCGATATGGAGTCAGGTAAGGGGTGTCCCTTATATAGGGGAGTGAATTAATTTAAGCCCCTCCCACAAATACAGGCCAAACAGCCTTAATACATATATATATATATATATATATATATATATATATATATATATATATATATATATATATTTTATTTTTTTTTATTTTTTTTATACAAAAAAATAATCCAATGGTGAAGTAAGTACTGGTAATTATTCAGATGAAATAAAGTAATGTACTTACATTTACTAGAGCAGAACTTGCTCTAGTATAAACAGCATGGGTGGTATAATCCCCACCTAAGGATGTGATGGTGCCAGGAAGCAATGGATGGATGAATAAAGGTAGGTGTGTGTGTGTGTGTGTGTGTGTGTGTATATATATATATATACACACACACTATTTATTACCTGTACAAAAACAATAAAAGCAGTATAAAATAACCTTGAGTCCCACTTAACGCGTTTCGCCTCTTTATGAAGTTTCGTTTATATAGGCAGTCTGTATATGAAAATTGCTTCCTGGTGTGTTGATTGTTGATTTCCTGTAACTATTCTGGAATGCACGCGTCATACCCGTAGTGACGAGGCAATCGACCAATATGGTGTTCCATGTGTTATAGCTTGGATTGCATACAGGAACCAAAAAATGGCGCCTTTGCATTCCCCAATAAAGGGGGTGGAAATTTATTAAATCAGTCACATCTCTTTTCAAAACCGTTTTCTTTGTCTGTTTTGTTTTGAAGTGACCATTATTGATCTGGAATGGGCATGGTGTCATGGGGGAAGTGACGTAACGCGCCCTATCTTGTATGTTGTGAAATTCGATAATGTCAGAGATGGGGAAAAAAAGTCATGTTATTGTAGTACTAATACAATTTCTGGGTTATGGAATATACAATATAAAAAAATAAAGATTTATATTATATATCCATATGATTAGTAGAAATATTTGCAAGGAAACATATATATTTTTTTTATCTGTTTAAAATCACCAATGTAGGATGAAAGAATTTGGGATGATAATCATTCAGAAAAATAATATTTGAACACTAAGAATGACAATGTATAAATCTTAAAATACATATATTAATCAAATACATAGGTTATATAGTAGTGCTAAAGTGTCACATGCCACCTTACATCAAATCATATTAAAGGAGTGAGAAAAAAACTAAGAAACAGAAATATGAGTGGGTGTTTTAAGACCACAAAGAGAAAAAAAATAATCAAAATCTGAGAAGGGGAAAATGTATAATTAGGATGGTCTCTAAAATATGTATTACTAAAAAATGGTTAATAAAAAATATTATACAAAATGTAATCGAATTCTACGTTTAAACCGATTAGATGTAGGTGTCCATATAATAAACCAATTCCATTGCCCCAATTTTTTTAAATAAAATCTCCCCCTCTCCAATGATTCTTTACGATCGTGATACCCGTGAAAGTGAAATGTTTTCGTGCATACAGAAGTGGCATGATACAGAGTGATTTTTAAATCCCATATCTATATTTCTGCAATGTTATGCAACTCGTGTTCTTAATGGCCTAATCGTATGTCCTATGTATTAGAGGCCACGTGGGCACTCCAATAAATAAATTACATTTCTGCTGCTGCAGGTGATTGTCTTTAATATTGTATGTTTTGCCAGTGATATTTGATTTAAATGTGGTTCTCAGTCTCTCTGTTGGGTTGGTCCTTCTTCAGGCTTAGTAGCAGTTGCACTTCTAAAAACGGATCTTATTGGGACGATTTTTTGTATAATTTTTTGTGAAGTGCATTTTTAGTTTGGGTGCACCTCTAAATACCACTTTTGGTTTCTCTGGAATCAGATTTTTTTAATATCTTGTCTTCTTTTAATAAATGCCAATGTTTGTTCAGAATATTTTTGTTTTGAATAAGTTTATTGGTGCATATGAAAGGCAGTCATCCCACGCAGGGGAGACAAATGTATCATCATAATCATTCGACATAGGCATATACCACAG